TCAAGGTGTTCTCAACCTTCTTAGTTTGAAATGAGTTTCAAGATACGATTTGCAGTAACTATAGCATGGCTCTAAAACTTGATTGGAAACGAAGTATGACTCATCTCTTGATTGAACCATTTCAACAATATATGATTCCTCTTCTTAGTCATACGATTACACTAAGATGTTCTTCAAGGATGAATTGTGATATAGTTCCACAATCATTAGGATGATCATAAAACATCATACTAACGTATTCTCCTTTCTTCTCATATTAGAGAATCATTTATCTTTCTGCCTAACAGATTCTTGTTATCCGTTCTGCTACTTTCTAATTTTTTTAAAGTATCAGAATTATTCTTAATCTTATAAACACAACCATATTTACTGAAACATCAGTAAATCATGACAAATAGAGTTATCATCCTTTGTGGTGGATCTGAATAGTCCATATCAACATGTACTAGATCCATTAGTCCTTTCACTTGACTCACATAAAAATGTGATCAATGAATTAGTTATAGTTTTCCGATGAACGAGATTCTCATATACTATACAATACGACTTGTACAACACCAGGTATCTGTCCAGTTGGTGATGAGATTTATTTTCACTTGGTCAATTATGACAATACCACAAGCGATACTATAATAATCAAATCCACAATTAATATTGCTTATATTAGAAATGTAACCAACACTTTCATAAATGTCATTGCAAGGAAATATATAAAATAAGGCAACCGGATAAACCAAAATTTCACTTTTATTGAAAATAAACGAAAAATTGGAATTAGTCCTTACAACGCATAAAATGAAAAACTATGTTTCTAAACATCTCCTAAGAATAATAGCAATCTATTATCCCAACTCCTTAGTAGTAGCTCCAAACTCTGATCTTCGAACCATGTGACTAAAGTCCATTTCTTATGATCAGATTTAGCTCACCTTGCTCAAGCTTCCTTCTATCTCTTAGCTCTTTTAATATTATCAAAATGTGATCATCACATCATGTATTAAGAGTCTATGAATAGGAACCTATAAAACAATGGAGTCAGATAATGGATGTACCCGAAGTAGAGTCACGCGACTTGACTTTTCTATATCTAAGATCTTTCATGTATTTTAGGCAGCTTTGTTTCCAATGTCCCTTCGATTGGTAGTAAAACAAATAGACTCTTTGGGGTCAACACATGGAACGATCCTAGAACTAGCCATTTCTCTTTACCATATGATCAAACAGTTTGATCTTGGATGACCCCTTTTCCATTGGGAAGAGAAATCTTTTCTGTACTACCATTGTTACCATTGTCAATGTCCATGGAAACCTTGGAAATAGACCCAATAAGCATTTCTGCTTTAGATGTGCTCTTAAACATTTCTGCTTCAGCAACAATCAATATTTGGGTCAAATCAATTAGGTTCACATCGAGATTCATCATATGAGAGTTTTTAACAAACTAACCATATAACTAAGGAAGCAAGAGGAAAAACAAATTAATGGCTTTCTCCCTTGGGAAAACGACACCCAATCTATCCAACTTGTCAATGTACGATTTCTTTTCAGAACACGTGTACACATAAAGTTTCCATATTGATGTTTATACGCCAATAGGAGGAGGTGGAAGGAAGATGATGTTTAGTTCTATCATTTCTTAAGGAAGGGAAAACAATTTCACCTTGACTTGAAATTGGAAGACCATCTCTAGAAGATTAAGGAAAACTATTTCCTTAAGAATGAGGAAGACCATTTCTATCTTCATAAGATATTTTAAATTCAGGAGAAAAGGAGAATTCAAGTTAGTTGACTTTAATCCTTAATTATTAACCCATAAATTTAAATTAAGGCTAGGATCCATATTTTCTATTCGAACTTTGAAGAGGGATATCGTAATCAAATTCAAATCTATTTTAGGTAGGTACGACTTTTACCAATTCCAATCCTATGGAACTCCTAGATCTTTTGAGATTCATTAATTCTTATCAATGGCATGTTTAATCTCGGATTATGCTCTTACTTTTGTGACTGGGTTGCCGAGGATCACACACGAGATGTGAATAACCATGCAAACCCACTTGACAACCTTGATGTCATTTACCATCTCACATTGATATGTTGGTTGACCACACACGCACCATCAACAATGATAATTTTCAAGATGTCCATCATATCTCTTTATAGTCCCTATTAGTGTGTCGATTAACCACACACACTCCACTGATGACATATAAAGCATGATGTGCGTTTTTCATGGATTAGCATACTTTTCACATTTTTCCTAAAGTAACTAAGAGTGAAATTTTAAAAATGGTTTAGTTACATTATATCATTATACTTATTAATGAGATTATGTCCTATCAAATTCGTTCGGCTATCGACCCTCCATCACACGGAGCGGTGAGTGAGAGTGGACACCCATTCAACGGTCATTTTATAGGTCGCTTTCTTATACCCTCTTTATAGCATGGTTTCGTGAATGAGGCGTACTAGCGATTTGACTTACTTTTCTTATACATATAATATATTAATCTTTTAATTATATATAGTATAAGGTATATTTTAAAACTTTTCTAAAATACTAGGTTTAAATTAAAATTTTCGGAATAAATAAAAAAATAATTTAATTTAAAATTAAACCAATTAATATTTAATCTTTATCTTTTAATTAACAATTAATTAAACTAATTTAAATCTCATAAGGATTAAATAATTATTTACTATTAACTATTAATCAAATAATTTAAATTTAATCTTAATCCAATCCCTACTAAATTTTTGAAAAATAAGCTTATTGGGGTTATCCAATTTTTATTATTCTATTTTAACTAATTAAAACAATAATTATCAAATAAGGAAACCCTAACTTGCCTTCTAAGTAATGAAAAATACGGAGGAGGCTAGGGTTTCTAAAACCCTTGTAAAAGTTGAAATTTTAGGGTGGAAGCTAGGGTTCAAGAACCCTAGCATATTTCAAAAATGCCTCCATTAGGGTTTAGTTTCTTTAAACCCTAATTTTGATCTATTCAACTTTGTGCAAGATCAATGAGAACAATGACTCTGATACCACTGAAAGGTTTTATATGTTACAAAAAAAATCTATTTTTGGCGGAAAAAGCATAAACCCTAAGTTCACATGCACCCTAAAGGATCTATGTTCACACTATGATATGCAAACAACTATTGAATATGAAGAACCCTAGAACTACATTGTTATTTTAGAAAAATACAAAAGGGTTATTAGAAAATACATACCTTGTGTTTATTATAGTAAATAAACATTGATTCCTTCTTGACCTAGCTTTAGAAAGCAAGCACTAGAAGTCTCGTGCCTCTAGTGGCTCACACCCAAACCCTAGCAAGATGGAGGCTAAAAAGGAGAGAGGATGAGAGGAATGATTTTCGTTTCTACCTCTTGTACAAGGGATGAACAAAATTGTGAACCCTTAGGAGGGTTTATATAGGTGATAAGGAGGCTAAAGGTAATGCAGTTTCCTTAGATAAAGTTTATCTCTTTTGTTTTCCCCATAAGGCATCCAAGTTTCCTTAGAGCCCAAAAAAAGCTCTAGAAATCATCTAGAAACCTTATAACCAACTAGAATTTTGTCCCCCCTCCTAGGAAAGTTCTAGAATTGGTCAATGTTCAGCTTTTGAACATTGTCATATTTAGTCCTTCCACTTTTAATTAATTCAATTAATTCAAATTAATTTCTGATTAATTCTTAATTAAACAATATAATTTCTAATTAATATATTATTCTTATAATATATTAATAAATCATTTATTTTGATTTCTAATTAATTTATTAACCATATAATAATTTAATAAATCAGTCTCTCTCTCCAAATAGCAATCCAGTCAATTACTAGGTTTGACGACAACCCAAAAGGACTTTGCTAATAATTCAATATTATACTAATTTAGTTATTAGATTAGACACCTAATCCAACAGGTTTATGGTTGAGGCTTTACTGTTATGCGTGTGAGCCAACAGACCTGGGTATTCCAGTCCGATGACTGATTGGACCCGCTGCATATTAACATTCCAATCCGATAACTGATTGGGCCAAGGCATTCCAGTCTAATGACTGATTGGGTCGGGGGTAATCCCGCCCGATGGTTTTGGACCCAAGGGTACTCCAGTCTGATGACTGATTAGACCCAGTAAACATGACATTATATAACCCAACTTATCTATCTTATCAGCTCATTTAATGAGTAGACGTTCAGGTCAACAATGAAATCGGTAAAAGGTATGTTATAGGGAGAAAATGGTCAAATCATCACTTAATTTTACTTTAGGACTTATTTGTAAAATAGGGTAAAATAATAAGACTTTAATGGAACCAGTTCAACAATGAAACCGGTAAACGGGAAAAAAAATTGTCAAATCGTCATTTTTACCGGTAATTCATGTTTTTTCGTAAACAAATCTTAGTTTGACACTTATTTATAAGTTATGAGGAAATATTGAGACTTTATCTAAAAATTATATATATATATATATATATATATATATATATATATATATATATATATATATATATATAAACTTAAGGAGTTATTAATTTCTTTTTCTCTTACATTTATTTGGATTGGTTAATATTTCTTTTTAACATGAACCACATAAGAAATAAACCAAATATCTTATGAAAAAGATTGACATGAGTAAAACAAGAAATGAACTAACAAGACTTGATAATAAATCAAAGATTAAAATTACTTTGATAAAAGTGTTTGAACCCTAATCTTTCGGTGAAGAAAGCTATACCTCAAGTTGGAAAGAGTAAAGACCACTTTGAGCATTCTTTCTGGTTTTGTGGGTGTCATTTAAAAAGAAAAGGTGTAATTGATTAAAATAAATTGACTATTGGTGTGTTAATGGGTTTTAAACCCCACACACCTCTAATGTAATGTAGGCTGGTTCTGCGTGTCAGAGCACGAGCCCAAGGAATCTTGATATGAGAGAGAAAAAGAGTGTATTTATCTGTCAATTCGAGTCATTTAAAAGTAAGACTCAAATTTTTAACACTCACCAACTCTTTCTTGTCTTTGAAGGGTTGCACCAAAAAATCAGAATAAACCAATTGTTTCTTTGTTCTTGTTCTTGTTCTCTTGTTAATAGTATCTAAGTAGCAAAGAGACAAGTGATTAATCTGCATAACAGATAACACATTTGAGGTCATGTTAGCACAGGATACAACCAAACACAGATATTGTTTCTTAAATACCAATGCAAACATGTCTTCTTCTTCCTCTTCTTCTTCTTCTTCTTATTCTAAATCTCCAATCATTTTCTCGTTTGTTTGTATTCTAATCTTGTTTGTCGCTGTTGCTGAATCCGTACCAATAAACGAAACAAGCTTTAGACCAATGGAAACATTGAAGAAACTTAAGAAAGTCAGAGCTCATTTAAAGAAGATTAATAAACCTGCGCTTAAGACCATTAAGGTAAGTTTCCTCTTTGACTTATTGTGTTGACATTATCCTTAGTTTCTTGTAGCTCAAGGTTCGCTTTCGATTTTCACAATTTGGGTTTCTTTTGTAGAGTCCTGATGGAGATTTGATCGACTGTGTTCCTTCTCATCTTCAACCTGCATTTGATCATCCGAAACTCAGAGGACAAAGGCCATTGGTATATATACATTCATTGTCTTTTTGTTCTGTTTTTTGAATCGAAACAACTGAGATTTCTTAAAGTAACTTTTCTTTTTAATCACAGGAACCACCATCTGAGAGGCCGAAGGGGAATGACACCATTGATGAACACTTGGAGACAATTCAACTATGGGCAGAATCTACCGAATTCTGTCCAAAAGGCACTATTCCGATCAGAAGAACCACCGAAAAAGATGTTCTTCGAGCAAGTTCAATAAAAAGATTTGGAAGAAAGATCAAAGGAGGTGTGAGGCACGACACCATGAGCGGTGGCCATGAGGTTTGTTTAACTTTAATCAATCTGCAATTCTGCATGATCAACAAAACTCTGAATGCGAACCAAAAATGAAAAAGAAAAGACAAATTTATCACGAAAGTTGAAGATTTGCTTGCTGAGATACGTTTTCTGAAACTGTAGCATGCAGTCGCTTTCGTTAATGGAGATCAGTACTACGGAGCAAAAGCCAGTATGAATGTATGGACACCTGCTGTTACAGATCCATATGAATTTAGCCTGTCACAATTATGGGTTATATCCGGTTCATTTGGCAATGATCTCAACACCATTGAAGCCGGTTGGCAGGTAGATAACTTATTTGTATTTAATTCCCCGTTATAGCATTGATTAAGACAACTTTTTTTATTGAAACTTAAATGAAATAAATATGCTGTCACTTCAAAAATATTCATGATGTGATTTTTAAATTTTAATTCATAATTCATAATTCTCCAGGTTAGCCCAGAGTTGTATGGAGATGGTTATCCAAGATTTTTTACTTACTGGACGGTGAGCAATATCTCAACTGTTT